CTTAGAATGAATCTTTTCATCTAATAAAAGACCCTTGGAGATTATTATTAGACAACGATCGTCAACTTCTCACACTTTGACGATTGATTATACTGAGAGTAATCCGTTAACATATAACTATACAAAGAAATGATGCTAAAATACTATAATAAGAGCAAATCCACACAACATACTTCCTTCTTGGGAATGTGAGGATGGCGATAATTTCGGTAACAAATTAGGATGACAAATAATGTATTCGTATAACATAAATTAGATTATCTCAGTACTATTACAACTATTATAGTGATAAGAGTGAAAAACCATTAGCATCTTTCGACATGTGATGAACAAACGAGTATAATTCTATCATCTTCTCGATAGTAGAGTCACGTGTACCTGAGGTACGTGTTGGAGAAGTCACGTGACGTATTTCCGCAACGACAGAGAGGATCATTGGACCGAGACAAGTGTTGGCACCGCCGGTGGCGGTGCCGAGTCGGTCGGCGGCTCACCGAGCACAATGCGCCTCTCCCAATCAATTATAGTCACAAAAGAAAGGAGAAAGTATTCCGTCGATATGAGACCGTCGAAACATTTGATGTCTACTTGACCAAAGGGTCCTTTAGATGTCACCTTCATGACCGAGTCAACTCGATACAGAAGGTGGGGGGGTATTTTGGTAGTTTAACTAACAGGTGATGGGAATCGCGGAGGAATAATTAAGGAATCTTCGACGACCGAGGCAATTAAAAGTGGGGGGGTGGGGGAGGGGAAGGTGATGGTCCGCGTTCTTCCTTTTGTCGCCATCATTGATTGGCTTCCAATTTCGCTTTCTCCTCTCCTTTGTTAGTCAATTCGCCACCTGATTCACAGCTAGCGCCCCTTGTGGTTAAATCTCTCCGCAACTCTTGCAGCGCACTGTCTCGGCGTTGCCGCTCGCTCGGAAGGTACCGTTTGCGCTTTCTTCCCCTCGGTTCTTCCGATTTGGTGGATGGTTTTTCTTCAGATCGTCTTCCACGATGTTTTCTCGCATCGTAGTGCCGAAAAGATCCCATTTTTGTGGCATTTTTCTTTGAAAGATTTGGTTTTGTTGGATTCCGTATCGGTTCGCTCAAAATTATAAAGATCCGATTTTCACGGCATTCTTCCTTGGAAGGTTTGATTTTGTTTTGATTTTTTCTCGCTTCAAATGTCTGTTTGGTTCAAGATTTGTTTTTCTAGTTCTATTTGCTGGTGCTATTGTTGTCTGATTATTATTTGACTTGCTTGCTGGATGCTTCTTTATATACCGCTGTATAAACAAGAATCTACATTTATTTAGCTTTATCGGCCCTCTTAATCTACCATGTTATATTGTTATTATTCAATTGTGATCGTTTTTTACTTCCTACAAAGGATCTAATGGATGGTTAGATTGAAAATCCTGCATTTGCTATGTAGTAATCTATAGCCGAAGTCTATTTCCATTGCTCTGAAGCATTGGTTTTGCTGTATATATTTTGCTATTTAGATTGGCTTGCTAGTTCTTACATGTTGAAAGGACAAAATTAGCCCCCTTTTTCTATTGGAACATGTTTGCTCTATATTTGGTGATGAACCTCATACTTTGTGTAGTTAGTTTATCTGCTCAAATTTTACAGGACAGTTGATAGGTATTAGAAAAATGAGAGTAGTGAGTTTGGATGAATAAGTTGAAACATAGAGGTTAAGGAAGAAGACACTGTTTTGGGAAAGAAAACTAAGATAGCAAAGGGAAATCGAAACAAGGGAAGCCACAAGAAAAGAAAAATGATGCAAGAAACTCTAGTTTCTTTCACAGCCATCAACCATCTAATTAGTTTCTGCTCAAAAGACAAGTAAACAACCTTGTCCTTCAAAAGCCAAGTAAACAAAACCTTATTTATGTACCATTACATTAGCGCAGTGATGCATCAGTATCCAAGTATTTTTAGCATTTACGGCACTAGTGGGTAAACCAAGCTTGATCCGTTGATGACTCAATTGAACCAACTCAGACAAATCTTTTAAACTGTTTTTGTTTCGCTGCAAGTAGTTATATCTAATATGCTATAGTTTGTGTTTCTTTTATGATTTCCAGCTGAAATTTGGAAGACAAATATCAGGGAATGCAGAAAGATGTGTTTGTATGTCAAATCCCCGTCTAAGGTATACAACAGTGTTGCCCAAAATGAGGTCTCTGTGGTTGCCCCAGATGACGTTGGAGTGCACATCGATATCCAATCCATGCTTGATGCACAACCAAACAATGGGGCTATAAGTGTTCATCTGGCTCTTGTATTTTATGACCTTGTGGAAGACGGTTGAGATCAACTGTGCCGAATTCCTTTGCATCGTAGAAAGCATAGATCACCCTAGCAGGGGGGAATAAGACACTGTTTTTTGGGTTGTAGCTATATTAGAAAATGGAAAGGCAAAATAGAGAAAGTGTGTTGATGCAGAGGTATGAAGTCGGGAGATTACTAGGGAAAGGAACTTTTGCCAAAGTTTATTATGCTAGGAATGTGAGAACTTCCCAGAGTGTTGCTGTTAAAGTCATAGACAAAGAGAAGGTCTTGAAGGTTGGGCTTATCGATCAGATAAAGCGAGAGATTTCTGTAATGAGATTGGTGAAACACCCAAATGTTGTGCAGCTTTATGAGGTCATGGCTACCAAATCTAAGATATACTTTGTCCTGGAATATGTAAAAGGTGGTGAACTTTTTAACAAGATTGCAAAAGGAAGGCTCAAAGAAGACGTTGCACGGAAATATTTCCAACAGCTGATCAGTGCCATCGACTTCTGCCACAGCAGAGGTGTCTATCACCGTGATCTAAAGCCTGAAAACCTTTTGCTTGACGAAAATGGAAATTTAAAGGTTTCAGATTTTGGCTTAAGCGCTCTTGCTGAGTCCAAACAGCAGGATGGCTTGCTCCATACGACTTGTGGTACTCCAGCATATGTTGCTCCTGAGGTGATTAGCAGAAAAGGATATGATGGTGCAAAGGCTGATACCTGGTCTTGTGGGATCATTCTGTTTGTTCTGATGGCTGGTCATCTCCCTTTTCATAATTCGAATCTGATGGAGATGTATAAGAAAATTGGGAGAGCGGATTTTAAATGCCCCATTTGGTTCTCATCCGATGTTAGAAGACTCCTTGTACGAATTCTTGACCCAAATCCTAATAGTAGGATCTCATTTGCAAAGATTATGGAAAATCCTTGGTTTAGAAAGAGACTTGATGACAAACTATTTAAGAACTCCAAGGAAACAAAGGAAACTGATCCTTCTCATGTTGATGAAGAGTTAAGTTCCTCTGGTAGCAACATGGCTGAGGCAAAACAGGAGACGGGAAAACTTGCTACGTTAAATGCTTTTGACCTCATCTCTCTTTCAGCAGGATTTGATATTTCAGGTTTGTTCGAGGAGACTGACCACAGGAGAGAAGCAAGGTTTACGTCTGATCACCCAGCGTCTGTTATTATCTCAAAGCTGGAGGAGATTGCCAAGCTCTTGAAGTTAAAAGTGAAGAAGAAGGATCAAGGGGTACTAAAAATGGAAGGATCAAAATCAGGCCGAAGTGGTGTTTTGGCCATTGATGCTGAGATCTTTGAGGTTACTCCTGAACTTCATCTGGTGGAGATCAAGAAGACCGACGGGGATACTTCGGAGTATGAGAAGCTGTGGAAACAGGACATTAGACCGGCCCTGAAAGACATTGTTTGGATGGACATGGCAAGGTGATCAGCAGCAACAACAGCTCTGACTTGTTGAAGTTATCTAGGTTCTTATGCAGGAGGCAGCAGTATAACTTGTCTAAATAGTGTCTCTTATTGCTATCTTTGTTTAGTTTGTCACCTTGCTGTAGTGGGCATCTTGCTTCTGGTAAACTTGTTCAGTGTGGTAATACTTATCTTCCTAAAGAACATTTGTTTCAATGAGCTTTCTATATGGATCAAAGTGAAGAAAAATAGTCTTCACCATCTCAGAAATGAAACCTGCTTGTGGATCTGACACTAAGAAACATGCTCCTTGCTTATGGTTTCTTAAATTCTCTTCCTGTTCAATTACATCTTACCAAATCTTTGCATGGAAGCACTGTGGACTGACATAGAACAATACATGGTTGCAGGAAATATGGCAGTAGTCCTCACCACTTTGATTTGTCCTGCATCATGAACCCGCAAGCTAGCTCTGAATTGGCTGATTGAGATTGATGAGGGTGGATTAATTGTTGTCATTCTCAAACAAGATCTCGAGTATGATGTAGGTGTGCAAATTCATTTCCATTGGCAAGCTGTGGATTGACATGGGGAAGCCTTTTATGGGATTAACCACAGCGTGCTCATTATGAAGAGCATGGACCACAGGCTTCACAGGGCAATGGAAAGCCGCCACCACCATCACATTTATGTGCCTGGCCATGGAGGCAAAAGCCCCAAAGAAAGGGCAGCTTGACCTCCTTCGAGGGAAAAGCAAAAGATGAAGATGGAGTGCTCACGCTCCCACATGTTGTGAAAGCCCCTCTGCAACTTTATTGCCACTTGAACCGTCTCCTTCACTCCTTCCAACTTAGATCGATCTCTCTCTCTCTCTCTCTCTCTCTCTCTCTCTACTGTGTGCAAAACGTTGCAACTGCTAATAACATAAATGACTGGGTTTCGTGCAGTGTTCTTCGGTGATGTTGCAATGTGGTCCATCTCATGTTCAAGAAGCGAAGACTCCAAGGTATCGGGCAAGAACCGAAAGCAAAGGTGTCTGCGTTCCATGTCCCACAGGCAAGGAAATGAATGCCTCCCTCTTCGAAGATGGGCAAGAAGAAGTCAAGAGGGTCCCAATCCTTAAGTTGGACTGCGTGATTGCTCGCAGTCTTCTCCAACTACTTTCGACGCGGAACAGAATCCAAGACATGGAGATGGAGAAGCAGACTTTGATACGATTAGATACGGCACCAAGATATGCCATTTCCCTGTCTGTCATGTCCTCAGCTAAAGCGAGGCCAAATAAGAACCAAAGACAAAAACAAGGAATCATTTTTTTGTATTTTCTTTCATTTAAATTCCATTTTTTTCGACATAAACGGCAGAGTTATGATTTAGTGTTAATGCTATACAGTATTATCATTCACGTTATGCTTGCCATTGCCGTCGCCACTGTCAGCATTGGCTGCCGCAGCCAACGGTAAGCTCTTGTTGGCGAGGACGTAGTGAGTCCATGAGGCGTAGGCCCAGTCCCAGGCATTGAGGACGATGTAGGTGCCGATGCCGCCGATGAGGCCGTAGGCGATTGAGTAGGTGAGGGGCATGAGGAGGATGGTCATGAAGGCCGGGATGGCCTCCTTCATGTCCTCCCACTCGATCTCCGTCACGGCCTTCATCATGAGCACCCCCACCAGCACTAGCGGCGGGCCGACCGCCCACGCCGGAATCGATGCCAGCAACGGCGTGAAGAAGAAGGCGAGCAGGAAGTAGACCGCCACCGTGAGCGCTGTCATCCCGGTCCTGCCCCCCTCCTTGATCCCCGTCGACGACTCGATGAACGCCGTGACGGGCGACGTGCCCAGCAGCGAGCCCACCACGATGGCGACCGCGTCCGACATGAAGGCGAAGTACTGCCCCTCGAAGTCCCCGTTGGCGTCCACGTAGCCCGCGAAGCGCGCCATGGAGTAGAGCGTGCCCGTGGTGTCAAGCACGTCCACGTAGAGGAAGGTGACGAGCGCCTCCCAGAATCGGCCGGTGCCGATGCCTTTGAAGCTGAGCACGCCTGCCGTGGACTCGATGCGGTGGACGTCCACCACTTTCTTGAAGTAGCGGTAGGCGTCGCTCCCGGCGGGGGTGTTCGGGAAGGCGGTGACAGAGGTGTGGCGGAACCAGGAGACGGCGGTGACGAAGACGATGCCGTAGATCATGGCGCCCTGGATGTTCTTGATGAGGCAGAAAGCGATGATGAGGAACCCCACGACGGCGAGCCAGAAGGTGGGGGACTCCATGCGGCCGTGCAGGCAGAGGACGTCGCCGGAGACGGCGCCGCCTGGGATGAGGGCCACGGTGCCGTTGTCGAAGGTTTGGACGGGCGCAAGGTAGGCGCGATACTTGCGGGGGCAGGCGGCGAGGGTGACGAGCGTGGAGGAACTGTAGCCGACGAGGCCCACGCCCTCGTTGTTCTGGAGGCCGATGAAGGCGAGGAAGAGCCCGATGCCAGCGGAGGAGGAGATACGGACCGGGCGGGGCACGAGCTTGGCGAGGCGGGCACGGAAGCCGAGGGCGGAGATGAGCAGAAAAAGGAGGCCCTCGAGGAAGACGGCGGCGAGGGCGGTGCGATACGGGAGGTCGCCGGAACCGTGGAAGCCGACCACGGTGTAGGCGAAGTACGCGTTGGTGCCCATGCCGGGAGCCAGAGCCAACGGCAGGTTGGCGAAGGCACCCATGATAAATGACCCGACGATGGACGACGCGGCGGTGGCCACAATGAGGTCGCGGCGGGCGCGGTCAACGCAGGCGGCGTAGCCCGGGTCCACGGGAGGGAAGCGGCAGGAGGGGGAGGGGCGGAGGCAATCGTCGACGGAGCATGTGGCGCCGGAGTCGGAGAGGATCGAGGCGTTCACGGCGAGGATGTACGCCATGGTCAGGAAGGTAGCGGTTCCGGCGCGCAGCTCGGTTGTGAAGGTGGTGCCGCGCTCCGCCAGCTTGAACCGCCGGCCCACCCACGACTTAGCCACCGCTGCGTTAAACCGGCCGAGTCGTGATCCCCTTCCCGTTATCGACGTCGCCGCCACACCGGATGCCGACGGCGGAGATTCCGCCGTCGAATCCATAGTAGGAGAGAGTAGCGAGCGCTCCGTGAAGGAGGAGAAGAGTGCAGCTGGTTTACATTAATAATGACACTAATAATGATATTCATATAAAAATATAATATTTTATCTCCCCACGTGTCATTTCCACCACTTCAGTAGTCCCTCTCGTCTTCCCTTCATGCCTTGTTTCTTCCATCTAATCCCCACTTGGACGACGACTCCTCCCAAACTTGTTCTTCTCCCGATCGCCCGATCGAGATCGGACGGTAATGAAGGGTCCCGTCCCCATTACAGCCAGAAGATGTTGAATGCACGCTCCAGATTTCAGCATCAATGCTGTGTGAATCAAAGAAAATGAATGGGGGCTCAGAATTATTTGTAATCTGTATCGGTCCTCACACGCAACATCAACTACTAAGACATCTGTTTTGTTTCGATGCAGGATGGATACGCGAATCACCACGATCATTGCACTGCAAATCACACACCGTTCAGAGCCGATGAGTCGGCCGTTGACTTTCTTACCATGATTAGCATAAAAAATTATAAATATTATATAAAATTTTAATATTAAAAACTAAATCTAATAATTAAATATTAAATATGTATATTCTTCGGACGTCTTATGAAATCTTTATTTGATTCGAAAACATATTTCATATTCTCATTGGTCAAAAGTAACGGCACAAAGTTGTATGATGAACTAGACTCATCAATTGTGTGTTATCAACGTCTTGCTACGATAGTATCAATCTTTTTTAAGATAGTTTATAATAATTCTTATAATTTATCATTTCAAGATAATCATATTATTATGTTCAATTATACTATACATATACATAAATATAAATAGGATAGTAAAAATAAATAATTTTAATTAAGTAAATAAAAAATATTAATAATAATATCCACTTAAATATATATTATCATATTATCAAAATAATACTCAAGTTCTAAATTGATACTTGTTATTTCTAGATACTTTCTATGACCACCAAGTAATTTTTTTTTATATGTATGAAACTACTAGTACTTATCATTCTTAGAAAAAAAAAAAACTACTATGGTATTATCTCAAAATATCCTCAATGGTCTGATAATTGAGTCAATCATACTAAATCCTGAGATGAAATTTTATAACTATAAAAGTATATTTATAGCCTTAAAGGATACCCTAAATTTAACTTATGATGTAATAAATGATTATTTTATATTTTTTCAAAAAATTCTCTCTCCAACTAGTATGAATATAAATCCTAAAATGAGCTTCATACTATAGTAATTTACAAAATTAGCATTTAAATATCTCATTGCTTTAAGCTGATTTGATCTTATGTATATGAGCATATAATCTTTTATTCCTCATAGATATTTAATTATTTTCTTTGTAACTTTTTATTATTTCATTCCTATGTTGTTTTGATATCTATATAGCATTTCAATTATAAGACTAATATTTTGTCTTATATAAGTTTGATCATATAATAAAATTTAAATTACTCACACATAAGTAATATGATTCATTTGATTTTTTAAAAGTTATTTTTAAGACACTAATTTTAATTAAAATTTTTTTATCTCTAATAATAGGTATATCATTAGTCGAGTAAAGTTACATACTAAATCTCTTCGAGAGTTCGTCAATATATTCTTTTTAAGAAAGTTCTAATAATTTTTGAGATCTATCCTTTAATATTTTAATCTAATAACACAAGCTGTCACCGAACGTAGCCTCTGCCCATGGTAGCAACCGCTACACACAATGCCACTACTTCCCATAGCGACAACTATTGCACGTAGCACTGCCACATGTGAGTTCCTTAATCGCTACCCATAATAATAGCTGACGATAGTAGTATCATTGCCTACGATAGAATCGACAATCATACTAGGTTACCACTTTTGATAATGTTATCGTTGTCAGCAAGCTACCTAGGATAACCCATTGACCAAACATGGGTAATATGTTGTCCTTGGCTCTACTTGCGTAAAACGAGGAACTTTGCATCGTCCACAAGTATGTGACAAGATGGACGAGATAGCAAAGCATATTGATATTACAGACGAATCATTTAAACATTGTATAATTAAAAATCGAATAACAACTTTTCGTAAATAAAGTGTAGTAACAAATAGATATAAAGACAAAACATATATGATATACATTTATGATATAACGTATTTGATTTCAAAATAGTAGTCTCTTGTACCAATTGTAAATATAAAAGTTATAATCATACTATTATTACATGAAAAAAAATTTAATATCAAGAACTGAAATATAATAAACATAGATCAAAGATTAGATGTACATATTCTTGGATGTCATTTAAAAAACTTTTATTTAATATGAAAAAACACTTTGTAATCAATACCATAGTCGAACTAAATTTTCATTACTTTCTATTTAGTCTCTATAAAATTAGGAGGGTTCCTCCTATCAAAATCATATTCTAAAAAATTATTTTTTTTTCTAATTATAATTATAATTATAAAATATTTTATCTGATCACATAATCTAATAGATTCATCCTCAACCAAACCTAATTTTCAACTTTAATGAGTTAGGAGTTGAAATTCCTATATTATACGTACAGTTTATAAGTGCGCGTTAGGCGTTTATAGGTGCATTCCTATTATATATGCACATCAATGAAATTAATAGAGAAATAGACATTCAATAAAGATTATCTTACAACTCGGATAGGGAAGAACTTGATGTCCAACAAAAGTATGAACACGGATGAGATGTCTCAAGATTCCTTTTCCTAACGATGCAACATTTGATCAGGGAAGGGCCGATGTTGACTTGTGTTGGTTGACCATCCTCTGATGTTTTAATCTTTGTTTGACTGACTATTTGGTGGGAGAAATGCATGATAGTCAAATAGAGGAGAAGGTTCACAAGATAATACCGTAATATATACTTATTATTTTGTGTTATTTTCTTTAACTTAATGCTAAAAATAATCTTATTCTTATAAAAATAATCACTTAAGAATTACTTTTTCGAATATGATACCAGTGGGTCAATGGTAGTCAACATCATGGCCGGTTCACGGCGAACCCGGTCCATCTCCCCCTACTTATTGTAGGCACTGACTCGATTCCGTCACGATCGCCCAAAACCCTGCGCGCTTAAACCCTAGTCGTCGTTTTCCCTTCCCCCCTCCCACCCCACAAAAGATCCTTCCTTTTCTTCCTCCTTAAACCCTACTCGTCGTTTTCCTGCCTCCCCAAAGATCCCTCCTTTTCTTCCGCCTCGTTCGACTCGCTTCGACCCGCCAAAACCTTCACGGAAGATGTCGGGTTCCGTCTCTGCTGATTCGTCGGACGCCGGTAGCGGCGGAGGCGGCGACGACGGAAGGCGGCGGACCCACCAGCTCTACAATCCCTATGAGTCCTTCAACAACCCCTACTCCTTCCCCATGTACCAGCGCATCTACGACCTCCCCACGTCGCCCGAGTTCCTCTTCCAGGAGGAGGCCGCCCTCCGCCGCCGCTCCTGGGGCCACAACCTCAGCTTCTGCGCCGGCGTCGGATACCTCTCCGGCGCTGCCCTCGGCGCCGCTCGCGGCTCCCTCTCTGGTATCCGCGCCGCTGAGCCCGGCGAGTCGCTCAAGATCCGCGTCAACCGGGTGCTCAACGCGTCCGGCCACGCCGGTCGCCAGCTGGGGAACTCCGCGGGAGTGCTGGGCCTGATCTTCGCGGGGCTCGAGAGCGGTATCGCCGCCGCCACGGGGGACGAGGGGGTCGTCAGCACGGTGGTGGCGGGGCTGGGCACCGGAGCGGTGTTCAAGGCCGCATCCGGACCGAGGTCTGCCGCGGTGGCCGGGGCGATCGGAGGGCTGGCGGCGGGATTCGCCGTCGCCGGGAAGCAAGTGGTGAAGAGATATGTCCCAATATGAAAGGATTGATCTTTGTGGAGGGCTTTGCTTCCGTGCTACAAACTGTAGTGGTTGAGGACTTCAAATGCTTTTCCTTTGTCCTCTATGCTTGATAGATTTAGTATTGGAGCAATTAGAAACTGTAGGGGTTCGATTAGGATCTTTCCGTTCTTTTCTCATCTTTCTCTTTTATTTTTCTTGTATGTTTGGTAGCCTTAGAACTGAAACTCTCTGTTCCGTAGCATTGAAATATTTGAGTTTGTCCACAGTCTTGTCTCTTGCTTCTGTAGTATTGGAGGGTTTAGATGTTTCTTGAAGCATTTTGGTGGTGGATTTTGCTCTCTCCTTATGATGCCCTAATGTTTGAATTGACATGTTGATTTTAGTTTCATTAGTTTCAAGGATGGCTATTGGGGCAGTTCATCAAGTTGAGCTCAGATTGCAGACTTGAAGCCAGAACAATGTGCAGGAGGCTAAGTGATTCACCTGTCTGGTAAGCGACAAGATGGCCTTTTTGTCTTTTGTTTGCATTATTAGGGCATGAAGGGGAGTTGTCTGACAGGAGCCATGTTTCAGCTGTTCATGTCTGTTATTCAGTGACTTGCTCAAAAGTTGAATACTTCTGCCAGGAACTAAGTGTTTTTATTGAGTTAATTATTTTTGTTTTTTTTGGCAGGATCTAAGTTCCATTTACTCACTGTGAATCAGCTGCTTTTTGCAGGACCACATCCTGTAAGTGACCTTACATTGGTAATCTACTAACCTAACGTCAATAAACTGTTTTCTGCAAGACCACATCTTTGTTTATCTGATGACCATGCTAATCTACTAACCTAATGTGGTATTTATGGAACAAGCTAAGTATCAGCTGTTTATGAGTTTAATTTTTAGTGGTTGATGAGCCTGTGCTAGCGAAACCGATTTATAAGTGCGTAAGACGATGACCTGTAACCATATCTTGCTGCTATTGTCATAATACTTAGCATGTGGCCCTTGCTAATCTCTGATATTTGAATGTTATTTCGTAAAGCTAGTAAATGCTTTCTTCCACCATAGAAATTCTATAAAACAGCCATGATAACTTGTATTTGATGAATTCATTGTTAACAGCTAGTAGTGTTGCATTCTGCAGTCTTAACACTATCGGTGTCCGCCCGTTACATTATAAACTCTGGTACCTGCAGATGCAATGACAAAAGAGAATGCCCTGCTGAACTTTGTGTTCTGAAGCTATAATTGTGTCCCAAGGCAGCTCTCAGTTGTTGAGAAAGCAAGCCTCAGTTACACTTTGGTTCAAATCAGTGGTTATGACTCTCATCTGCATATAACCTTATGTCATTTATGGGCAGGCTTAGTTATGATGTGAAGACTACCTTTTGGTGAGTAGCCATTATCCCCATCTGGAACTGTAAAGTGGATAGCTCAAGTCATTTAAACAAGAACAACGGTGATGATAAGGTATGCTCTTGAATCTTGTAAGTTCATCCATCAATGTATCCTGTATTGCTTGCATGTGTGTGACCTAACTATCATGTTTACTTGTTTACCATTGTCAGTTGTGGTTAATGGTTATTGGAAACAAAGTAGGATTCTTATCTGTGTTGCTGATGTTTTACTATGGTGGATGCTTCTTTGTATTTGGGGCGTCATGTCTTATGTGTATTATGTTTAAACTATGTGATTTTAATTCTAGTCACAATATAGTTTTATATTTATATAAATATGCTAAATGTAGCAACTACAGGCGTTTGAAGTACCTGATCAAGGATCTAAGGCACATAGGCCATTTTGACCGACAAAAGGGCATGATGAAAGCATGAAATCCAACCGATGGATCCCTCCCATCAATGTCTTTTTGTTCATTTATTTGCCTGTGATGTCAATGATCATTTCGGGCCCTACTGTATGGCAATCGAGTGGTCGTGGATGTGCCACGTAGGTTCTAATATCCACGTGCCGAATTAATATCGGAAGTTCCTCGAGTGAACACGCCATCGATAACTCTCTCATGTTAGGACGATCGTAACGGATCCCGAAGATTAAAATGGTAAAATTTATATTCCAATGCTGTCTGCATGTGTTGCTTGGCACAAAACTAGAAAGCGAGGGCAAGATGAGTGCCTCGAGCTGTCCACGTCAATTCTTCACCGCCTTGTTTACTATCAGACAGTCAACTGTAAGAGGCCTCGACAGGTGAAATCGCTTCGTTACACAGTCCGGCTGACAGTGAGATTACAGTGGGAGCAGTCACCGATTGCAGCCACTGTCTGATGGATCACATGCTCAACATCAATCATACAGAACATCTCTAAGCTTCTTGATTCTGCACTGGGTGGTAGTTTCCATTGTTTCTCGTGGTACAGTGTATACAAACGTTTTGAAGAAGCCATCTCGCTTCCACAAAGTTTAGATGCCAGCATTCCAATGCATACAACTTATTCCATCGGCATCAAAGGGGAAACTTTTTGGTGAGATAGTGCAACTGACGGAAAAGCTGCGTGAAGTGGTGAATCTACTTTCTGTCGAGAGAGGTTGGCTTGCAGTCTCTGATGGGGTGAATCGAGGGGTGGCCGGTCTCTTCGACAGAAGGTAAAAGGAGAACGGGAGAGGTCAAACGCTCGGTGCTTTGTTTCCTTGTATATATTGGAGCGGTGACCTTCCACGAGTCGAGTAGGATTGAGGATGAGAGCGGCACAATCGGAGCAGCCTCGGCTCGGTGATCCCGATGAAGCACAGCAAGTTCGCACAGGGGGGTGGATCACCTTCCCCTTCATCTTAGGTCTCTCTCTCTCTCTCTCTCTCTCTCTCTCTCTCTCTCTCTCTGTGTGTGTACAAGTGCCTTCGTCTAAAGAAGCAGCATTGCTTGGGTTCCAGTAAGCAATCTGGGGCTGGGGCTGGCTTTGTCGGGAGCAACAGCCAACCTCATCGTGTACTTAGTCGAGGAGTACAACGTGAAGAGCATCGACGCCGCCCAGATCGGGAACATCGTCAGCGGCAGCACCAACCTTGCACCCGTGGTCGGGGCCATCGTCTCAGATGCCTTCTTTGGTTGCTACACTGTTATTGTCTCCTCCACTATCATCTCCCTGCTGGTACTTTTGACTTACCATCATAAACTATCACACTCCATATTCCGTCGTTGCATGCTTATGCCGCTCCAAGAACCTAATTGGTGGTTCTCATCAACCTGAATCCGTTGCAGGCGGTGGTTCTGTTGACGCTGACCGCCGCCGTCCGGTCGCTGCAGCCACCGCCATGCGCATTCGGCTCCGACGCCTGCGAGGCACCGACGGCGGGTCAGATGGCGTTCCTTTTCACGGCGGTGGCGTTGGTGGCCGTCGGGGCTGGCGGGTCGCGGTTCAACATTCTCGCCATGGGAGGAGGCCAGTTCGACGAGGTTCGGGACCAGGTCATTTTCTTCAACTGGTACTTCATCGTCCTCTACGTTTCGGCCGTGGTCGGCTCCACCGTCCTCGTCTTCGTGGAGGACAGCGTCAGCTGGACTCTGGGCTACGCACTGTGCATCGTCGCCAACGCCGTCGCCGTGGTCGTCCTCCTCCTCGGTACCAAGTACTACAGAAGGCCTGCCGCCCAAGGAAGCCCATTCACCGGCATGGCTCGAGTTATCGTTGCCGCCTTCAAGAAATGGAACGTGAAGGTGTCACAGCAGAACCCAAGTTATTACTACGGTTCAGGTGGGGATGACGATCCTAACAGTGATGTTCCGACTCAAAGGCTCAGGTAGAAGCTATACATGACTCCGTTCGTAAAGGAAAGCTGCATCAACAAGTGTTTGCAGCTGACATGTTTGTGCTGTGTCCTTTGACTTTGACCGCGGATGCATGTCTCCAGGTTTCTGAACCGCGCTGCATGGATCTGCCATGGCAACACGCGGGCCGACGGCTCCATCGCCAGGCCATGGAGCCTCTGCACCGTCCGACAAGTGGAGGATCTCAAGGCCATCGTCCGCGTGCTCCCTCTCTGGAGCGCCTCCATCTTCCTCAGCATCTCCATCGGCATCCAACTCAGCCTCAGCGTGCTGCAAGCCCTCACCATGGACCGATCTCTGGGCCCCCACTTCTCCATCCCCGCCGGCTCCATGGCCGTCTCCTCCTTCGCCGCCACCACGGTATCTCTCTTCCTCCTCGACCGCCTCCTCCTCCCCCTCTGGTGCCGGCTCGCCGGCCGCCCTTCGACCCCGCTCCAGCGCATCGGCCTCGGCCAAGTCATCAACGCGGCCGGCATGGCCACGTCGGCTCTGGTGGAGCGGCGGCGCGCGGCCGTCGTGCACGCGCACCACGCGGAGGGCCAGCCCGGGTGGGTCGTGCCGATGACAGCGCTCTGGCTGGTGCTGCCGCTGGCGGTGACCGGGGTGGGGGAGGCGCTGCACTTCCCAAGCCAGGTGGCGCTGTACTATCAGGAGTTCCCGCGGTCGCTGCGGAGCACGGCGACGGGGATGGTCGCCGTGCTCGTCGCGGTCGGCTTCTACCTCAGCACCGCCGTCGTATCCTTGGTTCGACGGGCCACGGGGTGGCTGCCGGACAACATAAACGGCTCCAAGATGGAGAACGTGTATTGGCTGCTGACAGCGTTGACAATGGTCAACTTCGTGTACTACTTAACGTGTGCAATGCTCTACAAGTATCGAAGTGCTCCCAAGGAGGCAGATGGTGTCGCTGCAAATGAAGGAGGTCACTGATCTCCATGTAATAGCGTTGCTTGTTGATGTTCATGAGATCATTAGACCATTGCCTATGAATTATTGTATGCATTTTGAGGACTTGTTCTCCATCACATCATGATAAAATATTCTGAATACTTTCTCCTTTTTCCTAGAATCCTTTTACAACTCAGCAAAATTCATTATTATATGATGAGAGGGGATCTAAGAATCCATATTATTAAAGTTGAAAGCTTTTATATATATATATATATATATATATA